ACAGTTATGATGGTGGGACCTCGGCAGAAGTATATTGTCATTGCTGGCTAACTTCATGGCTTCTTTTCTTGTCAGGGTAGTAACATTTTGTAGCCAAATTTGCACAGATTTGTAGCCAAGTCTACAAAGTGCTAAACAGTTCTTCTCATTGCATCCTGTGAGATGGTTGTGATGATCCAGGAAATGGGGTCTCAGGAGTCTGAAGAAGCCGCCTGAGCCAAGGTGTTTGTTTGTGGTATTGAGTTGGGGTGTGGGTGTGGGTGTGTGTGTAGATGGGGTCTCACTGTGTTACTCAGGCTGGTCCCAAACTCCTAGCCTCAAGGGATCCTCCTGCCTCAGCCTCCCAAAGTGCTGGGATTGCAGGTGTGAACCATCACACCTTTGATATTTTATAATAAAAATGTTTTTAAAAATTTACAAGGCTCATATTTGACCCAGTATGAGCTTTTTGATTTTATCCTGTACCTATGTATGAATTTCTTTCTTGTAGGCTTGTGCATGGGTATCTTGAATGGCTACTAATTGCTGCTCTGCTTATAAAAACAAATGGCTATCAAGACTGGGTGCAGTGGGTCTGGATCTCGAGTCCAGCCAGTCCAGAGTTTAAGATCAACCTATGCAGCATGATGAAACCCCATCTGTACAAAAGATCAGCAAGGCATGGTGGCGTGCACTTGTTATCTCAGCTACTCAGGGGTCTGAGGAGGAGGATGGCGTGAGCCCAGGAGCTTGAGGCTACAGTGAGCTGTGATCATGCCACCGCACTCCAGCCTGAGTGACAGAGACCCCTGTATCAAAAGTAGAAAGGCCATCAGTACAAACTGTTTAAATTATTGTACAGCCATACAATGGAATACTCTACAAAATGGAGAGGTCCATCCAAGAGATAGATAGCAAATGAATAAAGCAAAATGCATGTGTTGACAGCTGCTGTGATACCTCAGTTCTTGTCTCTTGGTTTAAAAGAATTTAAACAAGACACAACCAAGGAGATATAGCATAAGTTACTGCAAAATAAAAGGTAGGTACAGAATAGACAGTAAACCCTGAGAGAGAATTCAGGGCTGGCTCCTCATAATGGTGAGACAGCATTGATTATTGCTGGAGAAACTCCCTTTATGAGAGTTTTGCATGATTATTCATAAGGAGGTGAGAAGAGGTGTTGCTAGTACCCACGTGCTGGGTGGTCCTCTGTACAGGCACAGTAGCTCTTCATGCTTCTTCATACATCACGTCTCATTAGTAACTTAAATTTCTACCTAGGGGTGTGTTTTTTACTATTACAATGTGCAAAGGGTCAGTTTGAGGACAGGTAAAATCAAAATGTGGATGCTTTCTAGAAGGGAAAGTCCCTACTGAAGATAGCTTTGCTTGAATGAGCTCAAATACGGTGTGAGTGCTGAGGTTTATTGTGTTGGCTGTATGGTCATGAGAACATGGTCATTTCCTTCACTACCTGATATGGTTTGGGTGTGTCCCCACTCAAGTCTCATTTTGAATTGTAATCCCCATAACCCCCATGTGTTGAAGGAGGGACCCGGTGGTAGGTGACTGGACCATGGGGGTGGTGTTCCCATGATTGCGAATTCTCAGGAGATCTGATGGTTCTATAAATGGTAGTTTTTCCTGTGCTCACACACACACTCTCTCTCCTGCCACCATGTAAAACGTGCCTGCTTCCCCGTCTGCCAGGATTGTAGGGTTTCTGAGGCCCCCCCAGCCATGCAGAACTGAGAGTCATTTAAACCTATTTCCTTTATAAATTGCTCAGTCTTCGGTAGTACCTTTATAGCAGTGTTAGAATGGACTAATACACTCCTATCCTGCCTCATATCTGAGACACATTTTATGAGCATCCTCAGATGACTTTGTCACTATTATCTCCTGGACCTTTAGCTGCTTGGCTGCTTCTCCCTTGGCAGCAGATGAGGAAATCAGACAGATCTGAAGCACAAGCAAGTTTGATGCACCGCAGCTGGCTAATAGATGATGATGAGTGCCACCGGACAAAGGCATGGAAGCTTCCTTTTAAGAAGCTGAGAGAGGCCTTGGGCTAACAGTCAAAAGGGAAATGCGGGCAATGGAGCACAAGAATTACAACTATAAGAACTGCATGGCCAGGTGTGGTGGCTCACGCCTGTAATCCCAGCACTTTGA